CCCCAGCCGTGACCCCCGGCCTCGCCCAGCGCCCAGCCCCGCGTTTCCCTGGGGCGGCACCTTCGAGAGGTTACATCCGCTTCGGAAGCCTGCTGGACAGCAGACCCAGACCTGGGACGGCCCCGAGGGGACACTGGGCCCGTGGGCGGTGAGGGCCAACCGGGGTGCAGGTACCCCCACCATTTAGGTCTGCTATAGAGCTAAGGAAGGTGGGGTAAGGGGAAGAGAAGCTGGTGCGGGCCCCACATGTAAAGGCTTCCTGCCGGGGGGAAAAAAGGGTAGGGAGGACTACTGAGAGTTGGACCACCCAAGGTGGTCTTCACCAGGACCTGTGCCAGCCTGGTGGGCAGTGCCTACTGGAAGCACCAGCCCTGCCTTTCTGCCCAGCCAGCCAGCAGCTCCTGGGACACACAGTGCCTCTTGTGGAAGGAAGGGGACCAGAGCTCAGCGCCACTACCAGGATGGAGACTAGCGCTCCAGTGGCATCTTTTGCTTCAGAAATGACAGGGAGGGAGAGATAGGATCCCCTGGGGGCTCACCCCAGTGACTCTGACCCCAAGGGCCATGCTGACAGGGCTCAGCCATAACCATCCACCCCCCTAGGACTTCGGACAGGGACAGGAAGGACTGTCCAGGCAGAGCCTCTGATCCCAGAGTGGCCTACCAAAACCCAAGCTCACCTTGCCTTTCTTCCCTACTAACAAGACAGATTCCAAACTTCCATAAACCAGATATAAAGCCAGCATGCAGTCTTGTGGGGTTTTTTTGTTGTTGTTGTTGTCCGTCGTGGGGCTTGAACTCGGCCTAGGCGCTGTCCCTCAGCTCTTCAGCTCAAGGCAAGCGCTCTACCACTTGAGCTACAATGCCACTTCCAGTTTTCTAGTGGTTTTTATTGGAGATAAGAGTCTCACAGACTTTCCTGCCAGGGCTGTAGCTAGGATTACAGGCGTGAGCCAACAGCGCCCGGCTAACAGCACGCAGTCTTGATAGAATGCTTGCTTGCTTCTCAAAATACTCCAGCCAGTGCCAGTGCCTATAATCCCAGTTACTCAGGAAGCTGAGATCGGGGCTGGGAAGGGGGCTCAGTGGTAGAGCGCTTGACTTGCATGTATGAGCCCTGGGTTCGATTCCTCAGCACCACATAAGCAGAAAAAGCTGGAAATGGGGCTGACACTCAGTGGTAGAGTGTTAGCCTTGAGCTGAGGAGCTGAGGGACAGCGCCCAGGCCCTGAGTTCAAGCCCCATGACCTACTAAGATAATAAATAAATAAATACTGTCTCCAGCAAAATGCCAGACTGAAGGTATGGCTCAAGTGATAGAGTGCCAGCTGTGAGCAAATATGTAGAGCAAGAGAGGCCTTGATTCAAACCCTGGTACTGTCACACACACACACACACACCCAATACTATGGATGGGACAGTGTGGCACCATGGTATGTTGGAGAGGAGAGGAGGTAGGCCTCTCGTGCCTGGGCAGACCACCCCAGCCTCCTGCAGTCCCTCTCTGAACCTTGTCTTTAGGAGGTCTGGGCTCCCAGCTGCTCTAAGGCAGGCTTCTGCTGGCAGAACTCAAGAGGGCTGGTTCTCAGGGCTGACCCTCACAGCCGCTTATCTCCCTCTGTGTGAACTACCACATCTTCTCCAGGTGTAGGCTCTGGCTCCAGCTCATCGCCACTCCCCCTCCCCCAGGCCAGCAGGCAGGGCCTCTGTGGGGAAAGTGCTGGCCATGCTGACACCTCCAGCTGGCGAGCCTGCTGGCCAAGCTGGGCCAAGGCACGCTTTGGGGCAGAAACGGCACGTGAGCTGGCAAACTCACCTGAGCACAGACATCGTGGAAGAAGAGGCACCCACTGGTTACAGGGTCCGTCCTGGGCCAGCACAGCTCTGTCACCTCTCATGAACACTGGACCTGGAGGAGCTGCACTTTGGCCACAGGAACCTGAGCAGGGAGGCCTCCCACAGGCTTGGAAGGCTGGGGCAGACCAGACAGACAGCTTTCCTTTCTGCTGAGCTGGTCAGGGTTGGAGGCAGGTCTGCAGATGGGTTGTGGCAGTTAGGAAGGAGATCAGAACCAGTAGGTTCTTTAGGGAGCTACATACGAGGAATAGGATTGGGGCACCCGGTCAGCTGAGGGACCTCTCCCTCATGCCAGCATAGAAGATAAGACTACAAACTGCTGGCGTGTGTGAGGGTGAGCAGCAGGAGCCTGCTGAGTACAGCAGGGGCTCAAGTTTCAGAGGGTCAGGCTTTTCTACAGCCATTGTCCATGAAGACTGTGGGCAGCACCCATGACTGGCTCCTGGGAAGCCCGGGGCGGAGGGGCCACTCACGGGCTCCAGTGGAAGGGCACGGTTCTGGTGCATCGTGCCACTTACTCAGGTGTAGTCCCTGGTGGAGGACCCAGAAATCACACTGGTTGGATTCTTGAAGCAAAATGCTCTCCCCACTGCCCCTCCAACCCCACCTGGAGGCCAGGCTGTCAATTTGCATCTTCAATCTCTGCAGCCTCTCCTTCAGGTCCTTCATGCTGGAAAGGAAGAGGCCCAGAAGCTTCTTATAGCAAGATAGCAGAAAACCTCACACTTGCCAATGGAAGAAAAATGTTTCAGGTGGAAAACAGTCATGACTCCCTTTCATTAGCTTAGTGTCTTTAAAAAGGACGTGTTTTGGGGCTGGGAAGGTGGCTCAGTGGTAGAGCGCTTGCCTTGCATGCATGAGGCCCTGGGTTCGATTCCTCAGCACCACATAAGCAAAAAGAAAAAAAGC